CGAGTGGCAGCGCGCGGGTGGCGGCTGGCCGCGGCCACGGCCACGAACGGGAAGGCGCGGGCGCGACCACGGCACGGCCACGGCGGTGGCGGGGCTGGGAGGAGCGCCGCCACGGCCACGAGCGGCACGGCCACGACGAGGCGGAGCGCGCCCACGGGCACGGGCGGCACGGCCACGGCCACAGCGGGGCGAGCTAGGTACGGACGCGCGTGGTTATTTTTGGGTGCCTGTTGGAGTTGCTACTGTTGCTGGCTGGGCAGTATATTTTTGGGCATCTGTTGGAGATACTGGGTCGTTCGGCGCGCTAAAACGCTCTTTTGACGCTGTAAAACTTTTTTAGCGCGCGGCTAGATAGGGCGTCTGTTGGAGATGCTCTAAAATAGCTAGCTCTGGCCAGCCTTCATCTTCATGAGAAACTTAATATATGCATTTGCGTGCTTGTGTGTTCGGATGACGCACATCTTGGTAGCTCCGCAACGAGCTTTGTTTGCCGCATGTTTCTTCACGACTGAAAGCTACGGCCCAGCTCTAAAACAATTGCGGACACAACGGAGAACTAGATAAGCTAGCTCTATGTGTCTCCTTAATCCAACGAGAGGCATTTGTGGCCTTGTGTGTGTGTACATGTGTGTGTGTGTGTGTGTGATGCACAACTATTTTACAGTGATGCTCATGTTTTTCAAAAAAGGTTTGTGTGTTACAAATAAGGGAAAAGTAGTGGCTGCACCCACCATCGGTGCACCCATGCAAGAAAACATATCCAAATATTTAAAAAGTCAAAGCTCTGGGGAAATGATTATCAACAAATGTTATGGGAGCTTGCAAAATTTGATGGTCAAATAACATTCGAGGAGATCTGTAAAAAAGACAAAATTACAAAGTCTGCTCAAACAGTGCACTTACATTTTGACTAATTTTTAGTGATTGTCTTCTTTTTTTGTACAGAGCTCCTCGAATGTTATTTAACCACCAAACTTTGCAAGCGCCCATAACATTTTTTGATGATCATTCTCACAAAGTTTTAGAATATTTTGAAATATTTTGCTATGTTTTCTTGCGTTGGTGCACCGTGGGTGCACCGAAAGTGGGTGCAGAAAAACCACTCTCTACAAATAAGTTCTCATTTGCTGTCAAAAGAAGTTCTCTTTTTGATTAAAAATATATATAAGGATTTATTAAAACAATAAAATATATACACATGGAAAACATGTGAAATAAAAATAAAATAAATGATAAAACAAAAGAAAAGAAACAACAAAAGAAAAGGTTTAAATTACTGGCCTTCATGGTGCGGCCCATACTTCATAACTTGCAATAAGCGAAATACAAATATGGTCAAACATCAACATCAAGTTATGGGAAGGGCGCCACGGTGCTGGAGTTGGAGCCGAAGCTGGAGGCGCCATGGGAGCCGATGGTGTAGGCGCCGAAGACGACGAAGCAGATGGCGACCCCTGCTTGGGAGCACGATAAATTGGGTTCTTTCCCTTGTAGTTAGGACTTGGACGCCAACCAGGAGGAGGTTGAGCAGCAGACGCGTCCGGCGGCGGAGCAGGACGAGTCGTGGTGTGGAAGAGACGAGGTGTGCCCGTCTTACGAGCTTGCATCTGCTCCTCGAGCTGCAGCATCCAGCACGCCTCCGACAGAGACGGTAGTGGGCGAAGAAGAGGGATCAGCGACGCCTTCTGCGCGAACTGCTCGTCAAGGCCACCCATGAGCGCATGAAGAAGAGCACGATCAACAACAACTTCCCCGAGTTCACGAAGCTCGTCGCCAATAGCCTTGATCTGCTGGCAGAAAACACCGACACGGCGATCGCCTTGAGTGATCGTGTGGAGCTCGGTGTTGAGGGCCGATATGCGGGCATCGTGGTTGTCTTGAAAGAGACGGCGGAGTTCCTGCCAGATGTCATGAGCAGTGGCTCCATCCTTCACGACGAGTTTGAAGAGCTCGGTCGAGATTCGGGTGTAGAGCCACTGGATGATAGCAAGATAGTTTTGCGGCTCTCGTGGTGAATCGTCGGAGATATGGTGGAGTAGGGAGCAACGGCCAAGATGGATCTCGAACAAATGACGCCAATGATAGTAGTTGCTGCTATGGAGATCTAGAACAATGGAGTAACATCGGTGATGGTGTCGCTAAAGGAGAGGGTGGAAGGGATGGTGAGAGTTATTGAGGAGGAGGCAGCCGGGAGAGTTTGGCTGCCCGCGGCAGGTTGGGTGGGAGTTCCGCCGGAGTTTGTCTCGTGGAGAGGATCTAAGGAAAGTTTGATACCATGATAATCCATAGACTCATACAGTTGTTATTACAGAGAGAGAGATACATGATACATATATGGGGCGCAGCCCAACTGATGCGTAGGCATCATGGAGTTCGTGGCTGGGACGTCGTGCGACTCCTGTGCTGACCAAGTCATCGCCTAACAAGCTCGTAGTGAACACCCTTAAGGCCAAGGCGAGGATTGTCCATCTATCACTAGTAGAAAAGGGGGCAATGGTCTAGGCCGGGTCAGCCCATTAGTCCTGATTCAATCCAGAACCGGGACCAATGGGGGCATTGGACCCGGTTCGTGAGCCCCGGGGGCCGGCCGGGCCACGTGGGCCATTGGCCCCGGTTCGTCTGGACCTTTTGGTTCCGGTTGGTGGGATGAACCGGGACCAATGTGCCTTGCTCCTGGCCCATCATCATTGGTCCCGGTTGGTGGCCTGAACCGAGACCAAAGGCTTCCCTTTACTCCCGGTTCAAGCCACGAACCAGGACCAATTAATTGCCTATATATACCCCTCGCCCGCGAGTAGAGCACTCTCACTGCTCTGTGGTCGGCGAGGAGAGAGCTTTGTGGTGCTCTAGCTCACCTCCTATGTCGTGGCCGGCGAGGAGAGAGCTTTGTGGTGCTCTAGCTCATCTCCTATGCACACGAGGTGTTCGATGGAATGCCCGAGCCACACTACTTAAGCTTTCTCCTCTCCAAGCTCGACCTTCAAGCTCCATTTTCCTCTATATTTGTCTAGGTTTAGCGGTCCGTCACGTCCCGTCCCCGTCTTCGTCGCCGTCGATCGCCGCGCTGATATCGTCGCTGGCACCACCGTGGTGAGCCTCTTGTTCTTATCTTCTTTCTGAAAGGAAAAAAATTATTACTTCTATGTTTATATAGATACTTGTATAATTTTCTTACTTTTATTATTGCATCTTATATAGTGCGATGGTTTTGGTATCCGTCCCCGTCGGCCCTGGTCCTGTTTATGATTCCGATGTGGTATATATTATCTTTTCATAACTATTGGTTCATCTATTGTTTATGACAATTATGCCGACCAACGTGACATAGATTTTATTTATCTAGGAGGTTGTTGAACCGAAAATTCCAACCGACCCTATTGTCGAGAGGTTAAATTTAGTTGAATAAGAAAATAATTTCTTGAAGGAAAAAATTAGAAAAATTGAGGAGGAGAAGATGATATTAGAGTTGCATGTTGCGGATGTCGTGGATGATCACAAGATCAAGATGGATGCAATGCGCTTGAAGATTAGAAAGATTAGAAAATATGCCATTCATACCGAGGCTTGATATCATTATGCCGTTGGATCAGTTGTTACATTGGTTGCGATTATGATCGCATTTGTTTTCGCATTGAAATGTTTTACATTGTTTCAATGTATGGTTTAATTAATTTAGATGCTCTGCAGAGCTTTATGTTGTTAGATGAGAACTATGTATGTACTTTGTTTTTAATGTGATGATGAACTTCTATTAATTTGGTCACTTAATTATCTATTCATGATGTTCTGTAATGATTTTTGACACACTTAATTATATATAATGCACGCAGATGAACCGACAATGGATGTACGGTTCAAGACACACCTCCGAGTACATTAAGGGCGTGCATGAATTTCTCGAAGTGGCTGAGGCAAACAAGCAGAATGGTTTTATGTGTTGTCCATGCCCTATATGTGGGAATACGAAGTCTTACTCTGACCGGAAAATCCTTCACACCCACCTGCTTTACAAGGGTTTCATGCCACACTATAATGTTTGGATGAGGCACGGAGAAATAGGGGTTATGATGGAAGACGGCGAAGAAGAAAAGTACGATGACAACTATGTGCCCCCTAAATACGGTGATGCTACTGAAGATC